AAATGTAAAAAGTATTATTCTGCACTTTTCAATATTGCTCACCAGACCTGTGGGAACAATGAAACTTGCACCACCCAGCTAGGGAGGCAGCACAGTAAACCAGGGGTGAGCAATTATTTGGGCTGGAGAGCCACTTAAGGAGTTTGAGTGAGCTGTCGCGGCTGGTACTGAGTAGTATGGCAATTGATCCTACCCAGCCCCAGGCTTCCCCCCCGCCACACCCACCACCAGGGGTGCTGGACAGACCTGGTGGGCAGGGTTTCCATGAAGACCAGCCTGGGAACCCCACGGACAGGGCACGCTCAGCCAGGGTGAGACAGGATGAGGCCATGGGCAGATGCGGAGCATCATCCGGAATCACAGGGTCATGACAGCATGGGGCTGGGGGCCAAGGCAGAGTTACGATCCGGTCCCTGAACATCTCTGCGATTAGCGCTAGTTCTGAGGGCAAAGACATGCAGGGAGCAGATCGCAGCTGTCTCAGGCCTCAACCCTCCCTGTCACCACCCTGTGATCCTGGCCCCAGCCCCAGCCCCAGCCCCACCTGCCTGTCTTGCCCCCGGATGCTGCTTCCCACCTGCCCACAGTCCCATCCCGTCTACCTGGCCGAGCACACCTTGCCCACAGGAGACCCAGATATGAGTGGAGACTCCACTGAAACCCCACCCACCTGCTCCACTCAGCACCCCAAGAGGTAGGTATGAGGCAGATGAGCCAGGGTACCCAGGCAGCAGTGGCGGTGACACTGGCAGCCAGGCAGAGTGAGCTGCTACTGTGGGAGCCACTGGGAAGCTGAGTCCAGTGGCTGCACCACCTCCCCGCCTGCTGCAACACCACAGGTAGCAGGACTGGTCGCGCACACCACTGCCAGAGCTGCTTCCCATGCCTGGGCCAGGTGTGGCTGAGGGGTCCACCACAAGCTGGATAGAATCCCTTGTCAACCTGGATCTGGCCCATGGCCACAATTTCCCCACCCCTGACCTGAAGAGTGTATTGCATGGCATCCCAAATGGAGAATTTACACCCATAACTTAGGTAGTCAGTTGGGAATGTTTGATTATATTAAATGATAACAGATGCAACAAACTTCAGGCACTGACCTGCTGATTGCCTAGTGTACGTAACTCCAGTGAGGTCAAGACAAAGGAAAGCAGCCCATAAATGCACATGCAAGCGGTGCTGGCAGTACACTGGAACATAAAGACAGGTCAGTCAGTGAATAAACAATATCAACTACCAGAGTATTTGCTACTGTGTTGCAACTGCATTCATAGCCTTCAGCCCATTATGGGCATCTGTGTTTTGAGCAACTGCTCTTTTAATGCAAGCTTAATAGGAAAGAGATTTCAAGATTCAGGATGTAGCTAACTTAACTATTGCAAAATAGTGAATCTGGGACCAGCCACTTATGAAGTGCTACATAAAACAAATTATTTTGGCAGGTGGAAGCCCCAGCCCCACTATCCTTTGAATGCTTCCCTTTATAGTCCTTTTGAAAAGCATTCCACAAATAAAAATAGAAGGGATTTTCTCTCATCAGCTTCTACCTGAAAATTATACCAGATTTCAAATAGTGTAATATGGGAACAAACAATCTAGTGAAACAATCAGGGCAGAAAGGTAACAGAAGCAAATCATCTAAACCAGAGCTTCCCAAACTTTTTGTTATTGCATACCCCTCTTCCAAATTAACTAGCTGCTCCATACCTCAACCAGCATAAATTTTATATTTTAACCCCTTAAATGCTAATTATTATTATAATGAAAATTAAATCTGCCATCACAATTTCTCCTGTGTACCCCCCAAAGATGTCTTGGGTAACCCCCCAGAGGTATGTGTACCACAGTTTGGGAATCCATGATCTAAGTAAAGAGATACAACATATGGTGCTCATTATCAAATCAAATAATATAATAAACAGGATATTAAATGTCCAATAAATATGATTGAGCAGGTTGTCTAGCCACTGGCCAAATCTCAACTTGCTCTGGTTACATATAGTTCCTAACAGAACTTATGGAACTCATTTTTATTTACCCTTTGAATTTACAAATCCTTCCTATTACTTTCATAGTCATTTGCAATTTACAAAGAAAAAAATCCAAGACTACAAATCTGGTCTCATTTACCAGCAAGTATTTTGCTAAGTACTATATTTATAGTAACCTGGACTTCCAGGAATACTGGCCCAAACTACCTGCATCATCTTACATCTTTATATGACTAGCACACAAAGTCTTCTCCCCCCTGAACAGTGTACAAATACAATCATACGAAACTCACATTCTTCCCCCCACTGCTTAGTGATCGGAGAAGTTTGGTCAGATACTGGAACACGTTAAGCTGAATTGCAGTACTCCCCATTCGCCTGATTATATGTGTTGACTCTTCTGGGCTTATTGTATGGCGAAGCAAAGCCCAGGCCAAGAGAACAGGGGCATGATGCGAAACATCCCCTAATGTCAGCAGTAGACGGTCCATTTCCTGCTTAGAAGAAAGGATACAAACAAAACAGTCAATACAGTCTGAAAGAAGCCCTAGCCCGGCAAGCACTAGGTTGACAGAGGATTAGCACAAAGTCACCTTTTTATTAGAGATGCACTGATATATCGGTCCATAGCGGATTGGCACCAATAAAAGGAAAACTCACGTTATTGGCAATTAGCTTTTTTTTGGTCAGTGTAGCCGATAATGTCACCAATAAATGCCGTGTGCAAGTGTGTAGCCACAGCACGCATGTGGCCAGGAATGCAGCCCAGCAGCTTGGAGAGCAGTGTCTGACCAGTAAGTCTGTGGAGGGGAAGGGGCAGGAGGAGGGAAGGGGCCTGAGGAGCAGCTTGAAGCACCCATGGTGAGGGAGAGAGTGGGGCTGAGGCAGAAGTAGGCGCTGCCCAGCTGGGGTGGTGCACAGAATGGAGCTGCAGGCAGCTCATTCAGGGGATGCAGGGGGGCAAGGAGAGGGGGGCTCCCCACTGCTGCGTGTATCCCCAGGGGAAGCATGGGAAGCATGTGCCCCCAGATCTGCGTTTGGGGTGAGGGTAGGCTGCCCACTGCAGGCTAGGGGCCAGGGACTGTGCCAACCTCTTCCCGGCAGGGGAGCTGGGCCGGGGCTGTGCTCGGGGGCTACGGCATAGGCTACAGCCACCCCAAAATTCGCTGTAGCCCCCCTTCTAATGCCACTGCCGCCCATCACACCCCCCACCCCAGCCCGGCCTCCCCCCTACTGGGAAGAGGCCACTGGCCCTAAGCCCACAGTGGGCAGCCCACCCTCACCCCAGGGCCACATGCCCCTCATACCTCCCCCAGGGATGTGCGCTGTAGTGGGAGCTGCCTTCTCCTCCCCCCCCTGGGATGAGCAGGCCTGAAGCTCCGCCCCCAGCTGGAAAGCACCCTGTACTGACCCCACTCCCTCCCTCACCGTGGAGGCCTCGATCTGCCTCATGTCCCTCCCGCTCCCTCTCCTTAAGCCCCTAGAGACTTACTGGCCAGATGCTGCTCTCCAAGCTGCCAGGCTGCATATCAGCTATTGGATCGGTATCAGACAATATGGCTGTTTAATAATCAGCCATCAGTATCAGCCAAAAAAAAAATCTTTACCAGTGCACGCCCCTACTTTTTATGCTGATAACAATCTTCAATAAAAGATCTACTGAACTGGTCCCACTGCATGCTTTCAGAAAGAAACAGCATAGCACATTTCTTTCTTCCATTATGCTCGTTCACATTTTGGGGAAGGAGGTGAAGTTGCTACAAAAATAAAGGAAAACGCATCTCTAACGAAAATAGCAGACAGCCCCTTGCACTCAAAGTTCGTTATGTTGTCACAAGCATTTTAGTGAAACTAACAAACTTAAAACCCAAAGCTAAGTACAATGCTGGCCTGAAAAGATCAGTCACAGAAGCAGCAGCAACAGGATTTCTTCTTTAACTGACTGGACCCACTGCATTTTCTAGCCTGCACTTATTCTCTATTTTAAAGATCCTTGAAATATCGTATCACAGAACAGATCCTTAGTTTCTACACTTTTTAACAAGTTCACGTTAAGCCTGTTCGCTCTTCATCTCCATATATTCATAAAGCATTCCAAAAAAAGTCTCAAAGGTGAGCCACAGAAGATTCCGTGTTTTTCTTACTTGCCCCATGGCATAATGAAGAAGTTAGCTCTGACAGTCATTATGCAAGCCCAGAGAACAAATTTCACAGACAAGTCCTCTCCACAGTTCCAGCAGCCTGATTTTGGGCAATTACAGTGGTTTCTAATTACAAGGGAATACCAAATGGCATGAGGCTTTCTAAAGGCTTACCTGGTGAACGTGCCCATTATTGGCTAACTTATGTTCTTCTGTTCTATCATCCAAAGCACGTTCATGCAGGGAGTCAATTTCCATGCCCTCCACAAGAATAAGAGCACTGAAGTAGCTTGACCCAGAAGAAAAAAAAATGAAGCTTTGTTTAAGAATTCAGCAAAAATGGGGGAAGTAAAGGAATAAGAACAAATAGTTCATCAGCTTTACATTTGCTCAAGTCTCTAAAAGGGAAGAAAAACAACGTGAAAGGTAAGAACAGCTAATCTGACAAACCCATGTTCTTGGATTATGATATGTCAATAAACATTGAGTTAAGTCTTCAAATTTATCTACTGCTAGTTAGATAGTTACAAACAGGAAAATCAGAATTATTTGATGATGGCCTCTCTTTCTATAAAAATCTGTGAAATGTTAAATCACAGCAACTGTTTCATGCTGGAAACAAAGACAATGGGTGGGGCTGCACAGAAAGTCAAGGTGTGCTGGCAGCACATGCAGGTAAACCTACACCAGCTTCAGTCTAGCCAGCACAGTTAAAAATGGCAGTGAGGATAAGACCGCACTGCCTTCAGCAAAGACTAGCAGTGCAAGCCTTTCAATGATCCTGGGTACGTATTCCAGTTGCTGCCCTATGCCGAGAAGCCAATGATATTGTGTCTCCATTGCTACAAATACCCATGTCAGCTAGACTAAAGCTAGCACATATATGCTCACCCAGGCTAAAATCACACTTGTATCTTGCAAAAAATACCCTCAGCCTAACCAGAAGTGATTTTTTATCCTTATCACCAGTTTGAAATGCTGTTTATAGAAATGATGATTTTGGAGAACACCCACAAGACACAAATATTTCCTCTAACGAAGAAAATAATTGGTTAATTCCTTACTAACTGTACACACAGTCAAAATACTTACCCAATACGATCCACCAGATGATCCATGCTTTCATCTACCAAGTGCCTATTGGTCTGTCTAGAGCCAAATCCCTGATCTCTGAACATCCTGGCAAATGCCAACAGTTCATCAGGTGCCATCTCAAAGTAAGCATAGTAAAGAAAGATGACTTCCAAAAGCATGGATTGCTCACGGAGGCACTGCACAAACCAGCGGGATACCTGGCGCTCTGTCTGTACAAGGAGAAGAGCCTTATTGTTAGAGCTGAAGCAAGCAGACCAATGCAACAAAAAAAACAAGAGAATCAGAAGGAATTCATCAGCATCTTTAGTCAGGGATTTACACAAATGGTGCTAGAATCTCTTCTGACATGAACGTCAAAAAACTGGTAAAAATCACCTCCTCAGTTGTGGCTGGCAAATCCCAGCATGCAAGGATTAAGTAAAGATCAACATCATTGGGTTCCAGAGATTCTTATGAAGCCCACAGAGTTGAAGACAGGGGAGAAACACCTATCCCTAGGCCCAGGAAACATCGTCCAAAGTTGCCAGAATGCTAAATGAATCAGTTTAATTAATTCTGCAGGTTTTATTTAAAAATGAAAATACATGTTACAAAGGGTCACAACTGCAGAATAGACAGGAGCTGGTGCTCTACTGATAGCTGAACTCTTTTGCTACTAGAGATCAGAATTCAGTTTTCTAGCTCACTCCTTAGCTCCTAAATGAAAATATGACCAGAGTAATACCAAAGTAAAGTATTTCCTCTGGCTTCTGAGGATGCTAGAAATGTCCTTAACTGCATGTGTACACACACATATACACACACTCGCACACTTTCCTGATTAACTGACCATGCAGTGAGCAAACAAAATATAGCTTTGATAAAGAAAATGGAAAAAAACAAAATACCATGAGATTTCCATGCGTTTCCCAAGTAGGAGCTTCTGCTTTGTACAGCTCTTCAAACTGTTTCCTGTAATTAGGAACCAGTTCCTTTTCCAACTTTTCAACACACTGGGAGTATTGTGCCTTAAAGAAAAAACAGACATTCCACATATGCACACACATATACTGTTTAAATACACACATGGGCAAACAATGCATCCCTTGTATATACTGCATATAGCAATGAGATTTGATTTGGGAAAAGGTTCAAGTATGTACCATGTAGGGGTGCCTCTCATCCTGAAAATAGGTAAGGAGGTGGAGGACACAGCGCAGAATGCAAATCCTTTCTTCACAGTAATAGTCAGCCAGCTGTAAAGACACAATGTCATGAGGATCATCCACTACTGTCTAACTCTCTTCTCTCCTCCAGTACCTCATCATCATAATCTCCAACCACACTCCAATCACAATATGAAAAAACAAGCATCAAATGAATAGGCATGGTGTTACCACACAATTTTTAAGTCACCTGAAAAAAATATTTTAAACTTTTTCTTACACACAAGCACGCACACTCCTTTTGCCTGTTATAATGGTTCCATAATCCCATTGCTATCTGACAAATAAAGGAAGGCAGCAAAGTAAGGGAGGGAGAGATGAATTCCCATTCGGCTTAGCCCCACTGATCTGTTTCAGTCTTCCAAAGTCATCTCTTTGGATTAATGGACACCTCATAAGCACTTGCATGGACTTACTGTCATCAGAACACCCAGAAAGTCCCCCTCTACAGTAATTGATGAAGCTTTTCTTGTGTCTATTAATCCCCTCACTTAATCAAAAAATCCTCCCAGACTTGCAGTTTAAACTGTAGGAGCACTTCAGTCATTCCAACCTTTTCCTGAACAGTACAGTTAATTCGCTGCTAACATATTCTTCCAAAAACAAAAGAATAAGGAAAACTACTGACCTTCAGCATCAGAGCCTGACTCTGTCTTTCATCCTGCAGAACAGTCTGCAAGCAAATCACAAGACAATGACGAAGTGACTATTCTGCACCTTTCATACACACTATTCAACCAGACAGTATCACACTGAAAGTAATAAGAGGAATTTAGACACCACTTCTTGTGAGATGCTAGGTATCAAAAGTACAGATCACAGATTTCACTTGCAGAGCATGGCCTTGCTCCTTTTAGCAAATCCCCTCTCTTAGACACCTGTCACTGCAGTATATTCCTCTGGCTAAGAGTTCAAAAGAATACCCTTCACCAGCTCAAACCAGACAGAAGGATATATAATAAAACCAGACCTGAAATAAAGGTATTTCCTTTCTGAAATGGAAGAAAAGCTACAATGGTATTTGCATTATGCATCGCCAGGCTTGTCAATAAACTACCAGCCTTGAGGGAAGAAGAGACCGGAATGATCAGGACATGGACTACAGACCTTCAGTGAGTCCCTGGTGCCTCTGTAATCTTCCTGAAGATAACACTGTAGCAACTGTACACTCTGTTCTTCATCCAGACCCTGAAACAACAAAAAGGCATGCTCAATGATGGTGAAGAATAAACCAAGGCAGCTGAGTTCATCAAGAGGTGCTGAAGTCTCAAAACTATCAGGCAGCTTTGTCTCTCTGGATTAAATAGTTACAAAACATGTAATTGTTTTTAAAGGAAAGCAGAATATAAACAGTGAAATTATTTAAATGTAGCTTGTTCAACTCCAGCAACTGCACAATGGACCATACAAAGAAAGGTACCATCCTTGACGGGTCACCTGGTTCCAGCTTTTGATTAGAAGGAATTCAATTCCACAGGCAATTACCTAAGTTTTTTAAACATGACAAATGATTTTGGAGTACCTAAATTTTTAGTTGCCCAGTTTCAGATGCCTTAAATGACCCCCTTTTTCAGAGGGGTCAATACTTATGAAAAAACAGGCCCTTTATAGGCTGTCTCTATTTGGACACCAAGATTCAAAGCACCTGGAAGTCACTGACCATTTTTGAAAATGTTGGTCTGCTGCCTCTGCATAACCTGTTTTTGCACAACTGAGCTCGATTTTTACACTCTCTTCAATCTCTACTGAATATTAAAAGGCTTATTAAACTAACTTGAGCTTCAGAAAGCAGAATTCAAGTTGTTTTAAACAAACGCCAATAAGAAATTACTTCCACCTGAAAAACACACCATGTACAAAAAATACACATCCACCTGAGAACTAAGGAAAGGTCCTGTGTGGAAACATTACCACACAAAGAAGTACAAAAGTAAGTCTTTGTCCTTACAACAGGAGATAAATTAGAAAGAATTACAACTTAGTTACCTTACTCAGAGATAAGATGCAACGCACTGGCTTTAGAAAGCACAATATGAGGTTCCCTGACTACACCTGAAATGTGGAAATAACAAATAAGCTATGCGGAACATCTACTCACCAAGAACTTGCTGACCCTTAAGCCTAGTTCCTTCAGCGGAGCAGCCACATCTTTGTCAGCTTTTACTTTTTCTGCTGAACTTGAACTAAAAATGGAAAAATATTTTTAGAAAATTATATTAAAAGATGCAATGAAAAGGCTTAATTCCAAAATCCTTGATGTTTATCAGTTTATGTATTGACAAACTTTTGGTAATTTTACTGACTTTTTAAAATCTATAATATGTACTATGATCTCCTCAGTGAAGGACTCTGTCTGACACAATTCACCTACTGTACAATAGAAAGTTCATTTACAGCTATAAAACACATATGTAAAACGCACTGGATGCATCTACATGTGCGCTTAATATGCATTAAGCTATTTTAATGCATATTAAAGCATCACTAAAAACATGCTCCATATTTAATGTTCACTAAACTAGGCTAAAGCGCATTAAGCGTCACTTAAAAATCGTGCTCTTTCATTAATATGCATCATAATGGGCTAATTCACATTTTCCTAGTACCTCACAATGGAGGTATTAGATTTAACTAAAGCTAAATAAAGCATGTTAAGACAAGGTTCTTTGGGTGAATCCAATATCTTTTATTAGACCAACTTAAATTGTTGGAAGAACATTTTTTTAAAACCAAGCTTTTGGGTTTAAAAACCCTTCATTGGGCTGAGGAAGTTTCAGCAGTTGGTGTGTGCTCTTCCTGGATGGAATGAAAAGTAAGCCAGAGGCTGGGCTGGTATGCATACAAGATAGGCAGTGAAGATGTAAACTGAGGAGTCAGTGGATGAGAGACAGGTTGGGTTGAGGGGAGAGAAGGGAGAGGAATAGTGGAGAGGTACCTGGGGGGTCAGATGTCAGGCAGGTTATAATGTGTCATAAATCCAATGTCTATATTTATTAGTATCCAGGAGGTTGATGAGGAGAAGTTCATAGGCTCATTTCTGGGAAGTGTTTTGTAAGTTTCCTTTGAGGATTGGAGAGAGAGTGGTTTTCTTGTGAGAAATGTGCTCCCACAGGCAGCTGAGTATTCTTGTCTTTCATGGATTTCCGGTAGACGTTCACATTCTGGCGTGCAGTTGTTGTTTGGTCTCTCCTAAGTATTTTCCATCAGGGCATTTGGTGCATTGGATGAGATATGCACCACAAGATGAACATGAGCCTTCAATGTGATGCTGCTGCTAGTAAAGCGAGCAAAATGCTGGCTTGCATCCAGAGATGCTTCTCAAGTAAATCCCAGGATGTCATTCTCCCGTTGTACCTGGCCTTGGTGAGGCCGCAGCTAGAGTACTGCGTCCAGTTTTGGGCTCCACAATTCAAGAAGGATGGGGAGAAGCTTGAGAGAATCCAGAGAAGAGCCACACGCATTATCAGAGGTCAGGAAAATAGACCTTATGATGAGAGGCTGAGAGCTATGGGGTTCTTCAGCCTGGAAAAAGGCAGCCATCAGATCACCCCTGAGCCTGCGCATGAGTTTATAAGGGGTGCTCATCAGGATCTGGGGGAATGTTTGTTCACCAG